CATAACAGAAAAATAAAAGAAAACTAAATAAATCGCGTTAAAAATTAACCCCTCCCCCCCCTCCATTCTGTTCGCAGAACGAAGTGGAAGAGGCAAACGATCGTCGGCTTCGAGATAATGGCGGAGAACAATTTCGCGGTGGCGGCATTCCAACAGTTGTACGGAAGCGGGGCAGCGGCTGTCCCGGCGCATCCCGCTGCCGGACGATACTGGCCTTACCCGAGCGCCCACGCACTGCCCGCGAACGGCCTCTTTTACCAGCAAGCGTCAGCGGCGGCCGTCACCTTGCAGAAGCCACTTCCGTACAGATTGTACCCACCCGCCATGATCCTGGCCGGGCCGAGCAACCCCCTCGGATCTTTGACCGCGAGCTCCAGCCTGTCCAACCTGAGCAACTACTACAGGGACAGCCCGGAGATGGGCGAGGGGAGGGAGAGGGAGGGTAGGCAGCAGAGGGACAGAAGCAAGAGCCCCGTGTTGAGCGACAGGTCCCCCCTGATGAAGGAGGAGAGGCTTTACGCGGCCACGATGGTGCAAGCCGGGTCGAGCAACGCTGCCACCCTTGGAGGTACCTTGACAGCGAGCTCCAGCCTGTCCAACCTGAGCACGTATTACAGGGACAGCCCGGAGGATGGGCGGGAGGGGATGGGCAGGGGGTCGAGGCAGAGGGACAGGAGCAAGAGTCCTGCCGGGTTGAGGGAAAGGTCCCCGATGTGCAAGGACGAGAGGTTGTATCCGTCCCCGATGCTCCAGCCGGGACCGAGCAACAGCAGCGTGGCGTCGTTGACAGGTTCCGGGATGCAGAATTTGGGCGGTTATTACAGGGACAGTCCGGACATGATCGAGGGAAGGGAGAGGGAGCATTTGGGGAGAGGAGCGAGGCAGAGGGAGAGGAGCGCGAGCCGTTCGCCGAAGAGGGAGNCAGCCCTCAGAGTATAAGGGCGGACAGTGACGACGAGAGTATACACGATATCTAGGATAATGAACGAGGAGGATGGAAGATGAAGGGGAGGAGGAAAGTAAAGGGTTGTCGTTGAGAGGAGAGGGTACGATCGATCCGAGAGGAAGAAAGAGGAAAAACTCGATCCTTTTCTTTTTTTTTTTTTTTTTCTTTCTTTCTCAAAAAGTTGTGGAAAGTTGTGCGCGTGTGTATGTGTGCGTGTGATATCTCGAGAAAAAAAAATGTTCGAGTGTTTCTATTATGTTGTTAGAGGCAGCCAACCGACGAGAAGAGAGTCTTTATAAAGAAGACGCGCGGTGATTTTTGTAGCAATTATACTCCGTTCTAACTAACCCAACTTACTTGCGTAACCGCCAACAGATGAATGTAATGGAAGAAAAAACAAAAAAAACAAAAAACGAAAAAGAATAAAAAAAAAAAGAAAGAATATTATTTCTCGTCGTCGATCGATTGAAAGAAAAAAACTTTCGCGCGCGAAAGCTCGCGAAATTTCACGCCAACGATAGGTATTGCGCGAAAGAAAAGAAGAGAAAAAAAGAAAAAGAAGAAAAAAAAAAAAAAAGAACGGTCGATTTCGTGAGGTGGAACAGAGGAAGTGA